TGGAGTTCGCCATGGCTGATCGCGAAAACCGTGCTAACATTCGAACGTTCTTTGAAAAAATTCTCTGGAAGGACTAGCACGATGGCAAGGGGACCTTCCTCCCTATTACACCTGGAGTTGCAGGATATACGTTGGCGAGAACAACGACCTGCCAGCAAACAGCTGCCTTGTAGTCCACTTGCGTAGCGCAACTGGATAGCAGCTCAGCAGGATCAGCTGCATGGATAGGAACTGTGACCAGCAGATCTACTCTCTGTTGTTTTCTACTGATGAAGGCGGACGGAAAGCTGGATTGTGATACAGGGCAGGAACACACTGTATGCGAAAAAACTACGCGTATCTGTTCTCCATCATTCTTTCAGTTCAACCCATACTCCGGAAAGTAATGTCAGCAGTTCGCAGTCGACGACGTTAATTTGCACAAAACCGTCTCAATTTTTAAAGCAAGAACCAGAGTACTCATCGTCGCGAAGTGTTTAGAGATTTACAAGGCTGTTTGATCCGGAGATGACAACTCTATACCACCAAAAAGCGCGACTTCGTCGCTTTCATTACATCCGGGTAGTCCATGCGCGAGGCGACAGGGCGAGAAGAAATCTATTATGGCTGATCGTCATCGGATCGTCTCGCTTCAGTAGCGCGCGTATTTAATGCAAAGCTACAGGAGCTCGACACCGACTTAGTTAAGGAGAAATCTCAGGTGAAATGGGATTACTTTACGTAATTGATTTCAAGAAACGCTCGCTGCATCGCCGCATACTGCTCATTATGAAGTTCAACTGGAGAGTGCGTGATGCAGAAGATGTAGACAAACTTTTTTGCGCACAAGTTCCGAACGTTGAGGCAAAGCGGGAGCTCCACGCAGCCGCGTTCTACGAAAACCACCGGCAATGCGGCCCTTACGAACTCAAATTCCTTGTGCTTGCAAGTCAGTCCGTATCAAAACGATTAAACCAACATATTCGCGACAGAATGACGGTAATACCAACTTACAAGTACCTTCTCCTGAAACGCTGAATCTATTATATATTGGAAGTTTGTGGTACGGCCTCAGCTGTTAACCTTACAAGAGCACGTAAAAGGAGCCAGATTGTGCCCTCATCAGCACTGAGAATGGACCCACCGTGGACGACAACCAGAACGCTATATAACCAGGCGATACATCAGTCCCCGCTATGTGTGCGCCTCTCAGAGCATGCACCGAATTCTTGACCACAGTGCGCAGTGTGCAAGTTGGCCGTCCACCCGCCCGAACTTCCAACAGTGTAGTTCATGCTAGGACAAAAGCAACAGTACAGTGTGTGATGAGATGCACGAACGTGGGTTATCGAATAAATTTACAGCGCAATCAGAAATCAGGTTGGCAACATGTATGCAGTGTCGGCTATACATACGGAGCAACACTGCTTAAGTACTATACTTCTACGCAACACAGCCGGGAAACTTTTTTGAAGACATACGAACTATTGATAGGATCACTTATGATTGTTCACCTATGCAGCAAAGTGAAGGCTGCAGGCAGCGGCAATCAGGAGCTCTTCAAACGACTGCCCTGCTTTTCGCAATATTTGTGGGAGGTTCCTGACAGAATCCTTTGGCATGATTTTGGACGAGTAGGATCATCAGGGATGTGATGGATAATGCGCTGTCGTTTTGGCGTCTTCGACGTCCCTTATAACGTGGTTATTATGGACAGCAATTTGAGGGCTCCTTCTACCGCAAAGGCCAGCTGCGCCAGCACTGTCAGTCGATTACATAATTTATGAGCGAAGAGGATTGCAGCAACAGGAAACTCAAACTCAATACGGAGCATAGAAAACTGGTGTACGATAATCGTGCCGCTCTTTTCGGAGCTCAAAACCGTTGCATGGCCCTGGCGGCAGCGGCGAGACATGTCTTCGTAGTGCTGTGTACAGCATGGCTGCAGGAAGGAGGCAAGAGGTGCTGTGTGTAGTCTGGGCCAGCATTGCAGCACTGCTTCCATTGTGACGCACGGTGAGATCTGTTTCCAAATTGACTGTAAACGACGGAAATCGGACATTTCCAATGAGACTGCAACAGAAATAGCATAGCAGCTAATGGAGATTGACATGAACATTCAGGATGAAATTTTCTACCCCCGAGAAGCGCTCTCGAAACTATTATATTTATTGCCCTTCCAAAGTTTTGAAACAAGGGCACGGGGCAAATTGGTGGTGGCTGTCAACAGATCTTGCTAGTTGATAAACATGGACAATACAAGAATATTGCAGAAGGTCGTTTTGCGTGTTGTGGTTCTCTCTTCGGCGATTCGCACAGCTGGCAGCGATGACACCCTTGTCCTCCCAGAATCGGTAGTGGAGAATCACACGGCGAAGAAGGTGGCACACCTGTCGCGGATGATTCGCGATTTCACTTTAAAGTATTTTAAATTGCATTGTTGTTTGTTAAATAAAAGTGTTTAGTTTGTATAATGAAGAAAATTGTGGAGCACATGGCAGAACGTGTTGAGGATATGAAGTTAAGAAAGAAGTAACGATAAGGCGCATAATCAGTGATCTATAGAATGATACAGTATATTATCTTTCTCATAGAGCCTTCCCAGAGTAGGGTAAGGTTCAGTTTTATCCAAGAGACCACGAAGGGCGTCTGGCAATAAACGACTGCTCCGGACTCTATCTCCGTGGCAACTTTAACACCTATTCTACAAGAGATTATGTGTACGAGAGATATAGTCACCGAAATTTTAGGTGGCGTGCTACATACTTCAACCTTTTCGAACTCTGTGAATAAGCGATTTTGGCATCGAACAATGTACATGCATTCGCAACAGTTATTTCAGTTGAAGTACCTAAATATTTCGAACCGTCGTGATGCCATCACACGAACTTCACCTGAAAGAGCTCAATAGTTATGTTGCTTAAAAATGTGAACGTCGCAAACGACGGAATGCATCTGGAGGTTGGAACACTTGGACATTCACAATAGGTCCCAGATGCAATAGCGCTCAAAAGTATTCGGCGAAATGCTTCTTTAGCCATAATTCTCAGTCGTAACTCCTTTCCTAGTGGATCTAATCGCGCGAAATTTCAATATGTGTAGCATTGGTGTAGTGTGAATATTTACCACTATTAACCTGCATTTTGATCATGTTCCAAATATACCAAAGAGCTTGAAATCAAAACCATTGAAAACAGGGACATTGGTGCTTCTAGAATTTCTTTCCTTTTTGCCATGTCCAAAGTGGAGAGTAAACCAGCCGGCGATGATCCAAATAGTCAACTATTCTGATCACAGTACCTCCTTTAGCCTTCGTCGTTGCCAATTCTCAGTGCACACAGCTCCTGCAATGAAGATCAATCACCCAGAAGACGTATTCTCCCATGACCAACTCTGCGTTGCAAAGTCTGATGGAATCAAAGTGGTGGATTCTACGATTGATGTAAAACACAGTACCTAATCTTACAAGGATGGCGATGATGAAAACTTCGGATGCGGACGAGACTCGAACCTGTAATTGTGCTTCCCGGGCACCTACTCTTTATCCTTTACACTACGAAGACGCCGCTGCCCTCGCCTTCTCAGTGGCTTATATTCATAGCTAATCAGTACTCACGCTACACCGTGTAGAACCCGTCAGCCAATATCAGCATTACCGCTAGGCTGCAAGCTGTTCTTGTTATAACTTGTTGTTTTGTTAACTGTTCTTGTTTCGCCGCTGTAGATGACGCAAAAGTCTCACGATAGTATTCAATAAAGTTTTGCTACGATTATTTCGAACTACTTACGAAGGAGGTGAGGCGATTTGCATCACGTTAGTGCAAACAGCATACTTCAAACTTTGCTCTTCAGCGATGCCTTAGTTTTCTCTGGACGATGCTAAAAGCAAAATTCTACAAAAAACTGCAAAGAAGAGAAATGAAACTACCGAGGTAAGAGATTCCTTATCTGAAAGTATCCGCTCAATTTCACAACTTACCTTTTGGATTTACCGTTCTAATGTTCAGGTGTGACAGCTACGAATGTCAGAAATGAACATAAGTTTATTAGTATCATTGCCGTTCAGAGATCAGTCCGGTGGTAAGTCGTGAGTAAGGAAGCGCAACTTAGAGGTGACATTCGCAGGAGGTGAGGAAGCGATGGGGCCCAGACCGAGTCCTCTCGTTCACGATCCTCGGGCGTCCTCCTTCCGTAGTCGTGCGCGAGTTCTGAATACAAGTCAGCTACCGAAGCCTCACCCGTTCTCTCACCTCTCATCCTTTGAGCTTCTACTTTATCATTGTCACCCCTTAAGATACCCGTTGAAGAAAAGGAGGTTTACCTATAATCACTGCTATCACTCATGAACTTCACTCTCCCTTACACTTCCCTTCACTACCAAAATTCCGTTCTCGAACCTAAGTATAGAGGCACTGCTCATCTGAGAAACCGCCGAAATTAAAAGGAACCGTTTTGATCGAGTAGGTCGGGTAGTGCGGATGCTGTAATGATTGCGCGTTGATTGCGAGTCTAATACAGGATGTCGTTCTAGTATGAGAGGGTTATCAATGACTGTGCACAGCCCAAGGCAAATTTCCGTGACGACACCGGGAAAGCGCGGCGATTAGAATCGTTTTATTAGTCGCGACGATTAGGTCGAGGGCCGTTGAGGAATTCGAAATCAGCGCGGTCCTTCCTCGAACCCTATTCGAGCCGTCAACAGGATGACAATGTCCTTTTCTCTTCCTTGAACGAAATCCACCGTGTGCAAATCGATGCCGTTGCTCTTTGCGAACTGAAAAAGCCGATAAGAGCATTTTCCGATCCATGGTGCGAGAGCTCTTAACGAGGGTGTGGTCATAGAAGATCAAGTACGGCAGGTCGTTCAAGAGAGGATGGGAGCGGAAAGTGGCTGTTAGCGTTGCAGAAGGGCTCCTTTTGCTGGAGTGATATTCAGGATTCTTTGAGCTCCCAATCTCGCCGGATTAGATGATTGTGGGCGAGCTGCTGCAGCTGCCGGATCTCCCATAAATGTGCCGTGCTTATGGATATGGATATGAGTGACCAACTAGTGCCTGTTCTGGAATTTGAAAAGTTTCATCGCTAATTATGAGGGTAAACTGGTCCATCCATTCCCGGGAAACACCGTCCGCGGCTAAGGAGATGAGTAACGCCGATGTGGTAACGATGAAGATCGCTGGGGGACGCACATCGAACATGATGGCAGCCGTGTCGCGCGTCCAATCCGAGAAGTCGCGCCCCGCTAGTCCATACTCGTCACGCTCGGCATCCGGAAGCTAAAGTACTAAGTCCCGACCAAATATGAAGCGTTTCAAAAGTTCCCGTCCTCGTACGTGAGGCACGTGGCGAGTGCGGCAAAGAAAGATGATCTCACCTTCGATAAAAGCGGAATCGGAGACATATCGTTGAACGTTTAGCTCGTTTGCAGCATCGATGGATAGCGTCGTGTCTGTAAACTGAGCCGCCCGCTGAAGTGTCAGGGGTCGCGATGAACCCATTCGAGGAATCAGCGAGTTAGGAACGAATAACGGTCAGCGAAGCAAACACGGTTTTGCCGGTACCAAAGGCGGCCTATATTGCGGGGCGTGGAAAGCCTCGATCGTCCTTGTGGAGCGTTGTAACTGGTCGGAACTCAGCGGGAACGACCGCCCGTGGACGGAGACATAAACGGATTTTCGAGGAGGGCCAGCAGGCCCAGGTTCCTATAAACTGTGTCGAGAATGATAGCCGCGCAGGATCACCGTCGAATTAGACGAAGTGCTGACGCTGCGGGATGAGCTCGTATAACGGCTTGGCTCTCGATTGCAAGGGTTCTAACTTCACGCACACATCCATTACATTAACGCTGTTGAATGGTGGCCAATTTGGAGGCGGTGCGAACTGCATACTTGTACCCCCATGTTGGGACAACGAGGCATAATGCTATGGAGCGAGTTTCATAGTTGTGTTCCGCCTGCTCGATCGTTGCGTGGATAAGCGACTGAGATCCGGCGAACATAAGAAAACTAGGTCTCGTGCTCATTCCGATGACATGTCACTGATGATAGAAACGAGTCGAAAGGGGAACGCTGCCAAACTTGGGATGGCGGTGGTAAGCCTGTGGATACTCTTCATGTTGTTGACCGCGATTAGCGCAGAGCAAGCGGCGTTAAGAAGTTGCGCCATGCGTCTGCGAAACTCATCGGGATTACGCTGTAATTGGAAAAAAAGCAGCGCGATCTGCGACGCAGGGCTTTTCACTTGCGGTGAGCATGAATACCCGCAGAGGGAGCATCCGTTCCTCGGGATGTGCTGGCGAGAAATCACGAACAAGAGCGCAAAGTACTGTCTGCGCATTTAGAAGCAGGAGGCTCCGAGAAGCGTGGCGCACGAGACATTCGGTCGGGCAAGCGCCGAGAGTGTTTTATCTTGGTCAGCCTGGCACAGTTAGAAATCAACATGTTGGGGTAACGTGTACAGCATCCTGAGAACCTCTTCAGAGGAGAAAAGTAAGCTCAGTTGCCTCATAGCGAACTACGAGGGGAGGACGGTACCCAGTGAGCGCTGCGTGGTTAACGGAGAAGTCACACATGTGAACTTCCGCACTCGAAAGAAGTAAGGGAATCGCCTATCTGGGGTGGTTGCCTTTGGAATTCGTGCCTGTTAGAGAGTAATCGTAGCAGGATGCGTGAAACGGTTGAAGTCTTATAGCGGAAAGTGCGACCGGAACACAGCGACGAACCTGGACGAAACCATTACCAAGATGAGTAGTCGTCAAATCACTGCGGCCGATAAGCCTCATGGTGAGAGTAGGATTGGTCCTAAGAGCGGCATGAAGGGCGTTATCTAAGACATTGGTCCTCTCTCTTGGACAGCGTGGGTGAACAAGGCTGCTACTGCGTTTTGCACCGACCCTTCGACTGCTAGCAACAGGGCGGGCGGCTGATTGGTAGTGACCAATCCGGCGCCTACTACTAGGCATCTACGTCCACTGCTCATGCGACGCACGGGCTTTCGCAATGGTAACTCTGGTCGGTAACTCGATTCGGTCCAGGAAAGGGCGAAATCCCTTGATTCGTTTGTTCACCCCTTGCTCATCAGAAAGCTTTTCATTTCAGTCACCAGGATAAAGCTGCATCCCTCTTCTTGATATGGGGTCCAAATGAGCATCGATGCATCGGGCAGAATACATGGGCCATACTTGTACCGGCAGGAACGAAGGTCACCGACAGCCGAATCCGAGACTGGCGCGTGTGCACTACTGCCTCCAAGAGATAACAGTTCCAAACCGTAAGTTCATGATCCACGGAACAGCCGAAGGGGGCGGAAGGAAAATCGAAGAGTTTGTTGCAGGTCCTCCACATACTGCCATGTAGGGAAAGATGGGCATGTGCGCAACGCTAGTGCCGGAACATGCATAAGTCGACACTCTTCTGCCGAGACAAGAAAGAGTTTCTCATCATGATTCCCGGTTCGCGTCCCAAAAAAGCTAGTGTAATACGTCACGGAATGACGCACAGTTTTGCAAAGAAGTGCTGTGGTAGCGTATCGTTTTGTATTGGGTCGATAGACGTGCAACAAAACAGATTGCAGTTGTTTCGTACTATGAAGAGGAAATCGAGGAAGTCGATGATCAACGGGACGACAAGTGATACAGGTGATTAGAAAGGAGCCATAAGCAGTCATAAACCGATGGAATGAGAAAAAGATTAGGGGGGGGGGTTGAATGGACAAAGCCAAGCGCCTGGCGATGTCCTGCTACACTTGACAGAGCTAAGCGAAGAAAAGTGCATGGACGCTAGGCCTCATAGAACCGCCAGGTGAAGAAGGGTGTTTGTAGTCGAAAGCGACCCGAGCTAGCTCCTCTTCTTGCTGGAGGCTGTCCGAGCTCGAGATTGGTCTAGTTCCGCCCGAGACTGTCTCCTGCTAAAGACAAGTCCGCAAAGCGTTGTTGAGTGGCATGAACGGCAAGGTTCTCTTGTTATGGAGTAGAGCCCAAGGGGCTTCGCAGGTCATAAGCTGGGCATTATCACGACGAGTTTTGATGAGAAGGGCGGTTGGAGAAGGAATAAGGGAACTGGAGATTGACTTGTTGGCCTTCCTGTTGGGTTTGGTCACCGGTGCTGGGTATTGATACGGTGCGAGGTCTTCCCGCAATTGTAGCACTTGGCCGGTCTAAGGTCTAATAGGAGCTCCCCGACACGACGATGCGTTGCCCTGAAAGCGTCGACGTTGGTTAGTGTCAAACCGACGATAGCTATTCCGGAAAGTTCTTCTACTAAAAGGCCTACTAGTAGCCTGAGCACGGCCGCTGAGCTTACCGTCTAACGCGTTCACCGTGGCTACCGGATCACCTGAACTCCCGTTGATCGTCGATTTCCTCGAGCGGACGTCATTAACGACCATCCTGGTATTTGCGTGACGTCGAGAGGGATATAGGCCGTAACTTCCCTGGTCCAACGGTCATCACTATATCGCATAATGTGTTCGGCCCATCTGATCTTCGATCTCTTGGCGTGATCAGCGCCATTCTTGATCTTCGTTCGTCGACGGAGCTCGGAACTCCGGATTCCCTTCTGCACTTGCGTGTATGGGGCAATTCCGAGCATCGTCCTTTCCACAGCGCGTTGAATTACGCTAACTGCATGCTCATTATGGTTTCGTGGAGTCCAAGTCTCTGAGGCGTGTGTCAAAGCAGGGAGGACAGCAGGATCGAAAAGGTGAGCGCGGAGCCGGATATTCTTTGTCTTTTTCACTACTCGCTTGATGTTCTTGAATGCTCCCCACGCCGCGCGTTTCCTTCTGCACAGCTCCGGAGCTAGGTCGTTCATCATGTTGACTTCTCGACCTAGATTCACATAACTAGAGCATTCAGTGATATTCGTCCCGTCCAGCCAGGAAGGAGCAGCAGGTACCTATCCGTTTTGCATGAACATCGTCTCTATTAGGTTCAGTCGTGATCCGATCTCTCCACAAGCGTTGTCGAATTCGGTCAGCATCTGTTCCGCCTGCTCGATGGTGGGTGTCATAAGCACGAAGTCATCTGCAAAGCGGAGATGATGTAAGTAGCGGCCGTCGACCTTCACTCCCATGCTTTCCCGTTCCTATGACGCATGATGTTAGCGAGAAAGGCACTGAAAAGTTTGGGCGAGATGGTATCGCCCTGTCGAGCCCCTCATTCACGTTGATGATCACTCCTTTTTAGACGGCGTGAAGTTGTTGTGGAGCTCACGAAGCATGCTTATATATTGAGCAGGAACATTCTAGTTGCTCACAAGTTCGGACGTTAGCTGGTTACTGCCTACAGCTCGCGCCTTTCCACGCTGACGTGTCAGCTCAAGAGTCCTCGAAGAGAGACGTTTGTTGACATCTCAGACTCGAGACTCTCAGTTTTCCTTGCGCAATCGTAAAGATGTTCGAGGAGTCGGCTGTATCCTTCATCGATGTTGTCGCTGACGGAATCTCCCCACAAAATCCCCGCTGACGGAATCTCTCCACAAGCAAATGAAGCGAAGTAATCATAACTGACCACAGTCTTAAGGCTTCGTTTCCTGAACTTCGCAGCAGCTCTCTCTCCACGCACTAAGAAGCGGAGTATAGCGTAGAGGAGACGATGGTCTGGTCCTGTGTAGAACTTCGCAACAACAGCGACGTCGGTCATGCAAAACTTTCGGCTAGCGATGATGTGATCTATTTCATTATGGAACTGCCCACCAGGTGACTCCCATGCCCATCAGGAATGGAAGAGCTTCGAAACTGCGAGTTACCATGGATAGTGTGGGTCGACATGATAAACTCGGACAGCCTTCCACCGTGCTTATTCCATTCCATTCCTTTAGTCTCCATATGGAGCTCATCAGCCGTTCTTCTGGGGCCAGTCTTGGCGTTGAAATCACCGACGATAATCTTGAAGAAGGTACGGTCTTCTCTGTAGAGCTTCTCCAGATATATATAGGAACACCTCCAGCTCTTCTTCATCGTTGCTCGATGTTGGCGCATAAACAAAGAAGACTGTTAGAGTTGGAGTTGGAGTTGAGCCACATCTTCTCAATCGTAAACGACCGATTCGGTTCGTCAAGCTTTCGTACGAATCGATGCTCATGGCCAAGTGCGTGTTGACGAGGACACCTACACCGCCGATGCCTCTGCTGTCGCATGTTCCAAGGAACGATTCTTCCCCAGTTACAAAAGTGACATGCAGCGTTCGTGCCTTCTCGTCTCGTGCAGTGCAGTGCAGTGCAGTTGCAGAAGTGCAGTTCAGAGGCTCGCATTGCTCTCGAGACCGAGCTGTATGGCGATTATCGATGTTTTCGCAGGGTAGAATACACAATTCGACTTGGGACCGGTGCGATCCATCAGCACATAAATGTTATCGTAGATTTGGGATACCTTGGAAAGGATCGCTTGTAGACGATTCGAATTACGGCAGACGGTTTCGGTGAGCGATTCCATGGAAGCATGCTGTTCTAGCTTCATCAGCTGAATTTTGCGATCGATGTCGTCTGCCATGCACTGCGACTGAGTCCTGCTCGTGATATAGGAACTCGGATAACACGGTATAATGTGCGGGGTCGTATAGGAATAGCGCAAATGTAATTGATCCCACTATATTGGACTGAACATGCAGAGTATCCTGGATATGTGGAGGAACTGTTCAGTTCAGAAATTATGCTTCTAAGCTCTAATGACTCGCATTTATTGTCTGTCCACGAGCCCATTCCTCGACAGCTTGTCACGTAGCGAAGTTGGTGTTGTGTCTCTCTTGTCCATAACCGTGACAGTTTAGAGCACTCTAAACTCACAGGCTGCCATTGGAGTTCGACGACCCCCACACTAGAATTCGAGTGGCGAAGCTGAATGCATAGACTTAATTGAAGCTTGCTATAAGGCATTTCGTCTCTGTATTCATATTGACACTCGTAAGGATCCGTGCAAACTAGTTCAATCGAGTGACGTGTGAATCCGTTTTAACATGATCGAACTCCAGCTATCAGGCACAAGACCGTACCCACCCACGGTGATAAGCGCAGGCCGGAGGATCGCTGGCGAAAACGAACTTAAAGAAAACAGTGCATGCTCGTTGGTTGGGTTCAAGACAGAAAGCTCAACGGATTCGGTCTTCGGTGGAAGACTTGGAACTGTTACTGCAGCCTTCTTTCTCTTGAAACGGTTACGAGCGAACCATTATATCATGATGAGAATACCCCCGAAGAAGTACAGGGTGAACCCCAAATTATTAGCCTGTGGCTGAACAGTGTGGGTTAGCAAGTAATCGTTTCGATAAAAACTTGGACGTATGCTCATAGAATGGAACTGAACGACAAAATCGCGTTTCCTTACCGTCCCTATGTATTTAGAATCGTTACTTTTATTTATGAATCAGTGGGGCACGGTGGCAGCGGGTATTGCAGCATGTTCGTCTGTTCGCCAAAACGTTTGCACGTATTGTCAAAGCTCAGTTTGAACGCGGATCGCGGTGACCAAATAATCACGGAGCCATTTGAGCAATTAATGGCTTTCTGGACTCTGAGCGCTAGACATATCATAAGTAAAGTCAGAAAAAGTAAGCTCGTTATGTTCTTATACCGGGTAATCCCGCTTTTTCGAGTTCTCGTTTACATGAACACTTTTCGTCTGTCTCGGAAGGTTCGCTCCCATTCACGCCGCGGGAGACCCAACTTGCTTATAATGAAATTCACTACACCATAAGTTTGATTATTACTCACTTTACTCAACTATAATACTTTACTCAACTTCTGTTCCACCTGATTCGTCAGACTTTTGATGCCATCAATCTATCGAAGACAATGCGAAGTGACTCTATCGGGGATGCATCCTTACTTGTTATAATGACTCCTCCAGTGTAACGTGTCGAAACTAGATGTTGAAGTGCACATGTTCTCTACAAAGGCCATCAGGTCGGGGCATGGCTCTTATTCAAATATTCGATGCTCCGAATTCATTACTTTTTGTTGGTCCTAGAAATCTCAGAAGCAAAGCAAAAAAGGGGGGAAGGTACTCTTCCAGGAAAGTTTACTGGGAAGTAAATTGACACGAGGATTTTCAGAAAAGCAGGAGCGGTCCAAAAGACGATGTCCAGCTGGGCACGAAAAGCAGACCGTCAACTGCCTGCAGGTGCATGGCCTAGACTACGGAAAAAGGTCGTAGAAGAGTTCTTCAGTGGGGCCAGACGACAGAGCAAAAAGAGATGTGCAGGTGCATGAGAAGAGGAAAACAAAACAGAATCTAGGAGCGAATTCGCAGTTGGATGGCCCGATGATTATTTGACCGGGCGTGTTTGCCCTTAGATTACTCCTAATGTGACTTAGTGGTCGAGATAAAGTTAGGGGGAAGGAAACAGCGAAAAGACATTCGTGAAATGGAGAAAAATCGAAGATGATTACTGTGTACCTGGCTTCTTGGCTAACGCTGGCCAGCCGAAACGACACGAGGTGGCCAAACTCACTCTCGTGCGCAGGCTCAACAGAGCCAATTTAAGAGTAGGGTGATCTGTCCTCCTTGCCTTCCTGGAGAGGACTCGCTGCTACACTAATGTTTCCGATGTTAACCGTTCCAGTGTTCAGGTGCAACTTCTACGAAGGCCAGAAATAAACATCAGTTTATTATTATCATTGCCGTTCAGAGATCAGGCCGGTCGTAGGTCGTGAGAAAGGAAGGAGCAGGGCTCAGTGGTGACATCCGCGGGAGGCGAGGGAGGCCAAGACCGAGTCCCATCGTTCACGATCGTCAGGCGTCCTCTCTCTTTCTGTCGTTGTGCACGAGCCCAAAATCGTAAGATGAGTCAGCTGTTGAAGCCTCACACGTTCCCTCACCCTCATCCTTTGAGCTTCTACTTGATCATGGTCATCCCGTAAGATACCGGTTGAAGAAAAGAATGGTTCACCTATAATTAATGCTACTACTCATGAATTTCACTCTCCCTTATAGCATATGTGTGTATATTTGTGTATGTGTGTGACCGAAAATTTATAACTACTGTCCCACTTGAACATGAGGATTTAACTTATTAAGAGATACAATGGCAGGATGGGAACACTGATGGTACGTAAAAGAAAGTGATAACAATTGATAGGAGCTGTTAATAAGCTTTAGAAAGCAACAATCACAGAATCCCATACACCCTTCGTTTTAACTGTTTAGCTTTGGCACTTTGTCAGGTGGTGTTGGAATTGACCGTAGATGAATGGTGAATAAAACGAGCGATAAGGCTGATAAAGAGCCATAGAAGGCGAAAGTTACTAAGTCTGTAACACTCTCCGTGTTAATACAATAGTTAAGCCTTGGTTTTTGGTGGTGGTGTGAAATGTGAAGGGAGCGCAGATGATTGGTGACAAGGACTTATAACGTGTGATAATGGTTGATAAAGAGCCTAAAATGTAAGAGTTTCTCGGTCTCTAGTGCCCTCGCGTTTAACGCGAAACCCTGGCACTTTAACAACTGATCTGGTGTGTGACTGTGACGGTAACAGATAACAAGTGATAATGGTTGATAAGGGCAAGAGGAAAATAGGGAAGCATTAAACAAGAGAAATTTCGTCGGTGACATCGAATCGAAGACGGTGCCAAGAACTGAGAAGATTAATTATTACGCTTAGAAGAGGAAGACAACGAGAATAGTTGTATTAAGAGTCGCGCCTTGACAGTTTGGTATATGGTATATGGGAGTACAGTGGGATCGCAGATGCCTGATAAAAGGGAATGATAACAAGTGATGAGAGCTCATAAGGGGTCTTAGCAAGCAGGAACCAGTTATCAATCAGTTCCTAGCGCCTTTTTCGTCCACGATTTAACTTTTACTCTTTAATATGTTTCATTCGATAGCACGGCATGTTAGAAATGGACGACAATAAATGTTAGATGGATGACAAAAAGGTGTGGTAAATGTAGTGATAAGAACCGATGTAGGGCACTTCATTATAAGGCGCTAAAATCTTGCTTCATTTCTTGCTATTAGATTACTCCCACTTATCATAGTTTGTGACTTGATGATTTGTTATGGTTTTTCTTTGTTTCAAAATCATTTGCGAGGAAACTCATCCGACCGCCAATAACCTGAGAACCTCAGCTGATGGTCTATAAACTATCTGTAAACATGTTGAGGAACGTACTTATTCCTATTCCAAAAACAAAAGAGTGGTGTGTCGACCGATTACTACAATGAAAAAACTACTTGTTAATATGTGAGTATAAATCGGTGAGAATCTTCCTCGTTTTTCGTACGTTTCCGCGCCTTTTTCTGTGTGATTTTGCATCCTTTGGCTCGACGACAGATAGACGACTGTGAAGATATCCTTCCCTTCATAGCCTTGGAGTCTGATTACTAATGTTCATTCTCGACTCCTTACTTCATAGCACAAGCGCATCTCCTCACAGGTGCATTTTGACCGTTTTGCAAGTTCTGAGTTCAATATGAAGTTTAACATTATCTCATGCATTGATAAATATAATACAATATTACCGACTATTTCTGCAGTTAGTCACCATCGCACGGCATGTTCGCCTTTAACAAGAGCAGTGCTTCTCAAGGTTCTAACAACGCTCCCGAACGCACATAATTTACTACCTCAAATAATCATTGGCAACACTGAAAGCTCTTCAACTGCAAAAAAAAAACAACTTATGTTCAACTAAATATAAAAATGACTAGGAGCAAGGAGGAGGAAAGGAGCAACAACGAGCAAAGGAATGCAATAAGGGTACAAAAACAACTCTACAAGCCAAGCTAGACATTTTTTTGTTGAAGAATAGATGAAAAATCAATCACCTTACTTCATTACCCGATTAAGATGTCGAAAAAATGGGAGACAATAAAGCTCAAATTTCGCTGCAGCTATGGCACAGGCAGAATGAATGTTAGATCATATTAACTAGCAGCTTTGCCAAGGAACCACACCCAGCATCTGCACATAACCTATTTACATTTGGATTGATACACGACGCTGGCTCTATCTCACGAGATATAGACACTTGCTACCGCTCCGAAATCGGCACGAGATCGAGCAATGCAACAGGGAGTGCAGATAGACATGCTCCCCGCCCAAATGAAGATAAAAAGTAGAAGAGAGCACTGAGAACAATGTCAACTGCATGTACCATTACTTGTTTCAGAGTCAGTTCTTCTTCTCAGCCATTCAATTTCGAGATTGAGCTTTTCGATTTCTAGCTTCCGCACCTCAACTGCCATGGAGGCTTCCTCTTGACGTATCCTCGCCAGTTTTGCTTCCTCATCAAGTAGATGTACTAATCCGTCCGAGAAATAGGAGAGCACTTCTCTTGCCAGCCTATACATATTATTGCGAAGGACGAAACCATGAGTTATTACAACTTAGTATGTTGGCCAACTTACGATGCTGTTGATAAATTTTGTTTAGCTTCATTAGAGGTGCTAGTTGTCTCGGGATCACGGTCGTGTTGCTTTTCTCTTTGCCTCGACCTTCCTTTTTCTGATATTTTCCAACTTCCAGAGCTTTGTGATGGTGGAAGATCATAAAATGTAGGCTTTCTGGAAAGAGATAATGTTGATCTATCACAACTCTTAACACGAGGTTTGTCACGCTGACAAGCTACACACCTGCCAGATCCGAAAAGTTGGCTATCTGAGTACTCCTCATCAGAAGAGTTAATTTCTTCTTTGACGAACTCTTCCACATCATTGTTTATGACCTCTGAAATGAACGAACTTAACAGTCCTTGCAGAAAAAATTATACAAATAGTGAGTGACTGAACTTACCCTTTTCCGGGGTTCCGTCAATCTGACTGTTTCTGGCAAGAATACGAACGAGCGGATCCAGGTAAGATGGCAGAGGATATCTTTCGCATCGTGCACTCTGAAACAATCTGAGTTGTTCGGATCTTTCTAATCACTGAAGAAGTAATTGCGTAATATATAGAGACAGCAATATACGTTCATTAGTATTAGCTTTTCACCGCTGTTTTGAACGTCTTGTTAAAAATTATAGTGCGCGAGGCCGAGTAGATCTAGGAAGAGCTCAGCATGATTAAGCAAGACTAATCTTTTTCGTAGGGCTTCATTATCTTATACCCTCACTATGCCACGTCTGTATCTGTGATGAAATAGCACACTACTCTGAATGCATTAGACTTACAGGACCAACTATGACACGGTCAGACAACTAGATGGCAAAAGTTGCACGATGTGAGCCAAGCATAGCATAATGCATAATTATCCTTCAACGTTAATTGATGTTTAGAAACCACTTCTCTAAAGAGCGCCTGAATGTTGTAATAAAATAGTTTCCACCAATCTGCGGCAAAAATTCCATCGTTAATTTAGCAGAAATAGTCACACATAAATACTTCTGCACTTGTCCAACCTAGTAGTCTTTTTACTTAGCCGCAAGGACCACTTGAAGTGATATGCATACCTCTTCCCTTTTTAAGAACAAAGATACGCTGGCGGAGAATTCGCCGCCACAAGGCCGAGCTCATGTATCGGATGAACTGCACGCTTCCCTGCGCGCGGCATCCAAATTGAAAAGCAAAAATTCGGAAAATAAAACTCATTACAGTGAATAACGATATAAAGCAAAATAAGTTGATACGATAAGTATTGATCAGTGTGAGTGTAATTCGGCTTGTTCTCGAGTGAACGGAAATTTCGCAAACTAGGATTATCAAGACACTAATTACCACTTGACAATCACATGTTTCCAAATATAGGATTGAGACTAAACCTTGCACCCATTTTCTGACCAGAAAAAGAATTAGCAAAAAAAGGAAGCAAAAAAATAGTTATCCAGATAGACGCCCCATAAAACTCTCCTCTTTTATTTCTGGGTGGNGGGGGGAGGGGAGTTATCGGATAACTCAGCCATAACTGTTCAGCAGAGCGTGAGCATTCTCGGAACTTCACGAAGCAACCCGATAGACATACCTCAGCTCTGAGAAATCTATGAATTCTTTTCACTTCGTTACGCAATTTCTCTTCAATTTGTGCTTTCGTTCTCGGAGCTACACCCATGCAGGACAAATATTGCGACCATTTCTCCAGCAATCGGTTCTTATCGGACGACGCCCACTTCATTCCTAAAATAAGACCTAAAGAGGAGTAAAACTCAGGACAACATGATCATAATAATTCAAATTCATGTGTAGCTGTAGAAGATGCGATTCATGTTTGGCGTTCGTACGGGGCAAAAATGGCTGGTTTAATGTTAGGTAAAGGGGAAATGGGTGTGTTGAACATGGTCATCTAGTCAAAGAGAATAGAAGGAAAACGAAAACGAAACATTTCAGAGATATGAGGCGACTAAATCTTTTGTCAAGTACTGATCCAATGAGAAGAATCACCGAATTCCGCACCTGGTTGAAGCTTGGCGTGGTATTTTGAATAACTCGCACTGTACATCGCGATCAGTCGACGCATCTCTACTTCTTGAAATGGCGGTGCTTTCTTTCGGATCGGCCCAGGAGTTAGGTATGGGACCATTTCATGAGCATGAAATGAGAGATCTGAAAAAAAGTTACGCAAAACTTCAGCAAAAAAGGATAGTAGCGGTTCGACGATATCCAGAGTACACACAGTCTGATCAGCGGGTGGATGGAAACAAGTGACCAAATGATTTATAAAACTACAAACAGATCGGAACAGCCCCCCTTACCGGGCCACTAGCAAAGGAACTTTATTAGGGGTTGAAATAGATCTAAATCGGGAAGGAGTGTTACCTGAAGGATCAGTAATTCAATGAGCGCGAACTTTCGAATGGGCTTTTTTCTGGTTGCTATGTGTCAGAAAAGTGACAGTGGAGCGACAAACTGACAGCGGCTTCCAACATACGGAAGAGATATCAGGTCGCAGTGGCCAATCAAGATCAAAGATGCCGCCTGTTTTTTTAGAAGCTCACCTCGAGCCTATATTATACCGCTCCGTTTCAAACATAAGCGATCGAAGAGTATCCCATGGTGCAGCGATGGCGCTGTTTATAGGAGAAATTGTCACACGATTCCCTAAGAAATCCGCAAGAAATCTTGAGACATTGGAAGTTGCAGTAAAAATCGCTCGACATCCTCCCTCGACAGCATTAGTTAAACAGCCTGCATGATGATGACGTATATACTGGTGTTTTGACTGAAACCTGATACTTGTCGTATCTTTTTTCAAATAATAATATCAATCAAGTATCCTTTTTTATAAGTGAAATATGCCAGAAACCCTCATGTCCTACTAATGATGGGGAAACACGCAAGAAAAACAAGGATAGTGCATGAATAAAAACAACTATTTATCTGAGTGCTCACCTTCTAGTCGTTTGAATCGACGATCTCCATCCCTCGTCTCTCTTACAGTCTGAGACGACGTTCTAAGTTAGAGATCCCTATAAGGGATACGGGGGTTAACGGGGACCTCCAAGTAGCGTGGTCGTAGTCTACCTTTAACAACGTCGAGAGCAAAGCGTAATTTCAATCGTTCCATGAAGAGTTACAGGTTGCTATGGGGCAGGCATTCCTTCCTTTTTGTTGCCAGAATCGCCAACTTTCAACTGTTATCACTCTCTATTACCTGTTTCCATGATGCCACCCGCATCCCGTGCCAAATTTGAGCTTTTCAGGTCTGGGGGTCAGGAGTTATGAATTTCCGGTCATACACAGGGACAACCAACAGACATACTTAGCGGATTATATATTGTAGGATTATCTTGTGTTGTTCTGTCCCTGCCCTTCTTCACGAAAGCTCTGAACGAAAGGGGTGTTCTGCCCCGTGTCCCTCGAGCGAGTACGATTCACTGGACTACTCTGGCTCGCGACAGGGACGAATGGAGACGCTAGTGGCGCCCGCTCGAGGAAATCGATTATCAACGGGACGGCAGGTGATTCTATGTTGTTATAGCGGTAACTTCCGCACTTAGTATTTTATTCTCGCACATTTACTCTGCTATCACTGGAGCTATTATAAACCACTGAACCTCCCCACACCTTCGAAACCAATAATAATTCACCAATAGTTGGATGAAAACCAAGTCGCATAACTTTTGTCAGATCACAATCATTGGGTGCTACAAAAAAAGAATTTGTGCCGTCCTTGATTCGGGGCAGCTTATTTTATAGAAGCGCAGTTAAAAAAGACTGTGATAGATCCTGAAAGGCACAGTTCACGATAATTTTGAGATTTTCAGTTCAAGTGAATTAGTGGGAGTTGTGGTGCAGAATAACGAAGAGGTAGCGATGAAATCACGTAAATTGGCAATTCCTCAAGGAGAAATGCTTCATAAAATTAGTTAAAAGGTAGCTGCACAAAATTACCATGACGATGTGGAATGAGAGAGTATTTGGATGAGACTAACTTGTGATGGAGAGCTGGATACATTAAGCCAAAAATGCTCAAAATTGGCCATAGCTATCTTTTGAATTCCCGTCAGAGGTGGTCATTGGGAGCTGTGCAGCTTCTACAAGCCTCTGGAATACGTACGACTTTTGAGTGCGTTATAGAGAAGATAAAATATTTTAACCTTCATTACGCCCTGTCTAGGTCATTTTCCGACCTGATAGCGCCACATATAGTATATTCGTGGGCCATTGACTCATCCTAGAAGGCTGCCTCGAAAACCGTCTTTATCATCAACCGTGCCATTGAGCTCTCTAAACAATACGATGCTGTTGGCATGAAGTCATCAGCTCATCTGAACTACATCAGCCAACCCCTCACTCGGTTCACTCCGAAACGTACAACCAAGAGTGAGGAAACGGTAGTCGCATTTTGTACACCTGGATTCCTTTGTTTGTCCTGCCGTATACGACGCTCCGAGGCTTGGATTCTGTGTGAGCAAAATGATCAAGAAGTCAGCGCCACATAACGCGATGGAGAAAGGGAAGAGCTCGATGGTAGTAACTAAAAACAAAGCAGAGGGGCCTTTAGGAATGATACCTCCGTCAGATAGCGACTATTAGGCAGACTTCCGCACTAATGTGAAATCGAAGATGAATGCTATCTCCATGTTCTGCAAATTGATGGGGACCCGTGCACTAGGGCGGGTAAAGACAAGGTTTCGACCCAATATGAACGATAGCCCAACGACCACATTCAATAGGGGAAAGTTAACAGCTTTCCGTACGAATAAAGGCTTACATCTACAATTTGTGGAAATGCAGCAGTGAGAGAAAAGAATGAAATTGCAGGCTTCTGATCCAAAAAAGTTTTTTCTTTATACGAGCGAAACTAATCACTTAACAACCCTTACTACAACAGAGAACTCATTAAAAGAAACAACCACAAAATCAGCTAGTGAAATCAGATCCTTTCTGCCATGAAGATTGCGCCTTTACATCCAGTTTGAATTATGAACTTCATAGCGTCGAACAACGGTGCCTGAAATCATTTCATCAATCGATGGCATTGTTATGTTCACAGTCACATCGTCGAATCTCAGAGATCTAGTCAGGATATTAAGCTGTGATGAGACCGCGGATAAAAGGGATAAAATAGTGCACTCCTAAGGAGGGCTGATAAGAAGTGTGAAGACAACAAGAGGCACCAAATAAGTCACGATTTCTTATTGGCAATTCAAAAAAGGTAATTAGGTGTGATGCTTGTGGAGGAAATGTGGATGGAGTGAAAGAAATTAACTACTGGTGGTAGGATTGCTATTATTGGTAAGAAGTTAAGGGCAAGTGGTTCTTCAACGTTTCCCTTTCACTCCAAAGGCAACGTCTACAGAGCTATTCGACACAGTTCTTGAAACCTCAATGAATGGTGAATATCTGTTGGGTTCATACATAGGTAGTTCCGTTTTTTTTTCAGAATAAGAATTTCCCCACCAGGTTCCGTGATTCTAAATTATGTGGCATACCGAAGGTACAAAATCTGCCCTACAATGACGTGAATTTTGCCAAGGCCAGGCTCTGCTGCTTTTCCTGATGAAGTTGTTCTGCCTTTGTATTCCTTCGATACTTGACTCTCGTCCAGGAGAACAGGAGTTGTGGATTTTCTGTTCACACACATACGCAAATACACACACCGACATACACCAACACACACAGCGACACACACGCACAAACCAACAGACACATCTGCTGCGTTAGATGTAGTAAGATTAAGACAGCCCAGGTTCGCGAAGTAGAAGTCGATGGCAATTAGTCAATTCGGCACCGAACTGCGTCTATGTGTCAATGCTTTAGAATGCTGCATATTAACCATTGATGTGACCATCGACTAATCATTTTTGACCTTTTTTCTGGTACTCCGCTGTTAGAATATCCAATAATTCTTCTCGCTTCGTGGAATACCTTTTTTTTNTTTTTTTTGCCAGACATGAAGCCATACCGATTTTTTTAATAAGACTTTTGTTTCTAACTTCTGCATTTTGGCACCGCCTTATATTTCATTGGTTCAAAATCTGCTGACCTGTGGCCCATTGTATTTTATACCAGTGTCGTGATGCTGAAGTTCATCATCTCGCAATTTCGTCAATGTATCCAGCAGGTCCTTGTGTGCTTCTGGATCGTCGCCAATTAATTCTATAATCCGAACTATTTGAAATTTGTCCACTAACACATATCTTGATACAGTACCCTTTAGCTGGTTATTGTAGTGCTGCCCTATCAACTCCTCTACAGCGACCGTACACGCCATGGCTCCTTCTTTGCCGAGAAGAGCCGATCCAACACCTGCATCAGAATATAATTGAGGAGAGTCTCCCGAAAGTCTCTTATGAAAATCTAAAACGACATTAGCAAAATCGCATACCGTACCTAGAGCATAAGCTGCTATGCTGAAAATGGGTGAGAAAATAGTGTGGGGAACTTCATGTTTAGCAGCAAGTCTTTCCATGATGTCTAAATGTTCCTTTTCCTCATCCCACATTTTCTTTATCACCGAGGCAACTGGAGAGCCTACAAAAAACTAGCTTAAACAGCTAAATAACAAGTTTTGATAATTTTTTACTACACGATTGCTTCCCTACACTTCATGTATCAAACCAAGTTCTTCTATCTACACGACAGCAGAAGTCCATGTACGGTACCTCCCGGCTATTACAGAATTGCAATAACCTCTAACAAATAGTAATGGTAATCGCCCACTAGGTCCCTAATTGACACATACAGAGGGACCCTATGACCGCCTCACAAAAAGTGTTGGTGACTACAAACAAGGGATAAGAAAGCGAACTCAATTAAAAAGACTTACTCCGGTGAGATAAGGGAGTATATGGTAAGATTTGGCGAAGGTGAGGAGTGTTCACATCTTACATTAGTATGGGTTAGCATTGAATCCCACGCTGAAAGTGGCCTAGGCCGAGCAAGCCTCCACCTCTCTGCAGCCGGTATGGGCTGGTCCCCGCAAATTATTACAGACATCAGCAGGTATTTAAAGTCTCTAGGATTCTGAATAAGAGTAGAGTATGCGGATGCACCCTGAATCAGTTTGATTTTTACCAGCACCCCTATCCTTTTCACTTTCTTCTCAACTTTCTGGGAAACTTCTAGAAATTTACCTTGTAAAACTGCCATTTGGCCAGCATAAATGCGATCGGCACCAAGTTCACCCGCGTGATCAACCCGAATGATCCTCTCCAGTAAAGCTCTACGAGCAGCCGCTGAATGCGCTGCTCGGAAGAATACACGGTTCATCTGAAGAATGATTCTAAGGTCCTATACTATATAGGATAATATATTAGCCACAAATTTGGTGTGTCTGTTTAATTGTTTGCCTGCCTGTATGGTTGCCTGTTTGTATGTCGGTTTGTCTGTTGCGAACTTTGATATGACCTGAAGAACTCCAAGAAGTTACGAGTCACCTTTGGAATAGCTGGGGACCAAAGCAAGATCAACAGTTAATGAATTCCTGCCTACACGGGGCGGAAATTCGTCACGCCACATATACATTGGCATGTACAAGTTTGTTGAGAGCAAAGGCGCCAGATGGGAACACCGATGACGGCTGGCAAGACAATACCTCGCCCACGGAGGGCTTGGCGTGTGCGAAAACCACTCTATCAGATCTGAAGTGACAAAATTTATGAGGGATGTAAGCGGCAGGATGGGAACACTGACGGTTAGCGGCACGAAAACTCGCACTCGGAGGACTGGACAAGAGTCGTTTAGCTCAGAATTCTATTCCACATTCGAAGTAGTTTCAACAACGCTTATTCCCATTTTGGTGCACCCGTTATTACAAGCAGGAAAATTTCCCGCGATTCCCCACGGTCCTTCCCCGCGAACTCGTGAGAATACATTGCACCTTATCATGCTATGCGTTTAACCACTCTTCCTGCACTTTCCTTCAATGCGAACTTAAGCCGCTGATGGTGGAAAACAAGATTTAACAGTTTTCATGAAGCGCTCATGGTAGGGCCATTTAGAACTGATGCCCCGGGCTCCCTACTTCATCCCGCCGCCTGCACCCTTTTCAAGTTTGGACGCTCTGATCCAGTTGAACAGGCTTATTGACTTTCAGCCAACCACACACGCACACCTTGACACACTTCTTGCGCCATGCCCATCATAATTGGAGCCCTATTCAAATCCTGTGTGTTTAAGCAACTCGTTCTATCCCCTTATTCTAACCTGACCTCATAGTTTTACTCAAAATGCGTCCATTCCACAAGCGTTCCGCTCTCCCCCTCCTCCCAACCCCGGATGGAATTCAACTCGATCACTCCTTGCCACCTATTATCAGGTTTCCCATCCTGCCGCCTCTACTCCTACATAACTTGAACGCGCTGGGCTGCAGCTAACAACTTTCGCTCACGCTCTGCTCCCTGTGATCTGCTCCCATCCTGCCTCCTGTATTTCTACCACATTTGAATGCTCTGGGTCCACGAAGACAGGAGTTACGAATTTCCGGTTATCACACACACTCCGACAAACCGACACACCCACTCAGCGCGTTTTGTATAGTAGGGTAGTCGAATCGCCCTGCTCAAGTCGGCCTTCCCTACCACATGCGACAGAGCCAGAGTGTTCGGCTGACCCTTCTAGGAGCAAATGAAACGTTTGTGACCACGAAGGAGAGGAGCTCGGAAATCCATCAATCTTGATAAATATAATTTGCTGTGTAATTGACCATTCACTTCCCCAGGACATGGTGCGTTCAACTCCATAGAAGCAAAAGATGAATGTTGATGGTTGATAGCGAATTACCATGCACGTAGCTTTTTTCCCGTCGGCGCAAAGGGTCGTATAAAGTGATCGAAGTCGTATAAATGTCGGGCAATACATCAATGAGTACGTATTTATTCGCAACTAGTAGCCGTTCTTCCTTCACACACAGAAAGTTCAACCTTCATGGAATTCAAGCAATTTTCATAGGAATTATTGCATAGGTTGGTATTGACCATTCGAGCCCCAATAAATATTCTTTACTGTACTATCGACCAGACTCATACATAGCTCAACGCCTCATTTGAGGGATTAACAGGGCACGATGAAAACTGGCTATACAGATCGAGATCGATCAAACAACACTGATAAATATCGGTTTGTAGTTCGTAGTTTACCGTAAACCCACCTCTGAACTCTCCATCGCGCAACGACTTTAGATATAGCAGAACACTGTAACACCTGCTGCACCTCTCGCCCCCTTGTTTACCGAATTCCACGAGCGGGCGCCGGTAACCTATCCATTCGTACCTGTCGCGAGCCAGAGTAGTCCAGCGAATGGCCCTAGCTCGAGGGACACGAGGCGAGGCGAAGCATTCCTTTCATTCAAAGCTTCTGTGAAGAAACCTGATCATCACGCTGGCGCCCCTCCTAGTGTTGGTCTAACTTCTCGAGGAACCCATTCGGTTAACGCCGTGGTTCAACGGTCATCTTCACATCGCATACGTGCCCGGCGCATCTGGTCTTTGTTTTATTGGCGTAAGAACGGCATCACTGATCTTCGTTCATTGACGGAACTCGGAAATCCAGATTCTCCTCCGCACTCGTCTGCATTGAGAAATTCCGAGCATCCTCTTTTCCACACCGCCTTGAATGATGCTGACTGCCTGCTCATCCTACCTTCGTGTGTCCAAATCTCAAAAGAGAAGTGAGCTCAAAGTCGTCTGTTCTTTGTTTTTTTTTTCACCACTCCCTCTATGTTCTTGAATGCTCTCCATGCCGCGTGTTTCTTTCTGCTCAGCTTCGAACCCTCATATTGACATCTCGATACACGTAGCTAGAGCATTAAAGATTTTGGTTCCGTTCAGAGTGAAAGAAGCATCAGGTACCAATTCATTTCTCATGAACATTGTCTTCGTAAGGTTCAGTTGTAAGCCGATCTTTCCACAAGCACTGTCAAACGTTCCGCTTGCACGATATTCGGTATTATAAGCACGAGCCGTCTGCAAAGCGGAGAAGATGTGAGTAGCGACCGTCGATCTTCACCTCCATGTCTTCAAATCGCAAATCACGTATGATGTTCTCGACTGCGGCACTGAAAATTTTGAAAGACGGAACCCTGTCGAACCCATGTCTCCACGTCGATGATGGCTTCTTTATAGAATGGCGAGTTCCCTATCGTGAAATTGTTGTGAGGCTCACTAAGCATCCTTAAATATTGAGTGGAAACACCTTGGTTGCCCAGGGCATCAATTACTGCTACTGTCTCGACGGGATCAAAGGCTTTCTTCAAATCGATGAACGTAAGAAATAACAGTATTGTGTATTCTCGCGATATTACAATGAGGCTTGCAACGTGTGGGTGGTCCGATTGTACTAAAACTTGTCGAAGCCCTGCTTGCTCCCATGGCTGTCCTTCACTTAGTAACTGCCGATTCTGTAGAGGATGACGCGTGTGTATAGTTTGTAGATCACAGACACCAGGCAGAATAGGCAATGATTGCCAATGTCGCCTGGATCTCCCTTCTTATTCAGCAACACAGCCTTGCTAGTTCTGCACGAAGTGGGCACTTTGCACGAAGGTACCGCGTGAAGAGCCTGGCCAGGGATTTGACAATGACTGATGAGAGACTCTTTAGATGATCTACTTTGATCCTTTCGGAAACGGGCGCCGTACAATTTTTCATCGACGTGATGGCATGTCGAATTAAGGGATAACTGAAGGGGACGTCATATTCGTCTGGCGATCGCATCGGGAGGCGGATATTTCGTCCCATCAATTCTACTCGGACCTTTGCTATTGAGAAAATGTGGCTAAACCCCAGCTCTAACAATCCTTGTTGTCTACACTCCAACATTGAGCTAGAAGAGGAGCTGTAGCGTTTTATATGCAACTGAAGAGACTCCACCAAAAAGACCATACTTTATTCAAGGTCATCTTCGCTGATTTCAACGCCGAGACTGGCTCAAGAAGAACAGCTGATGAGCCCAAAATCGGGACGCCAGAATGGGATGGAATGAGCAGGGTAAAAGGCTATCCGAGTTTATCATGTCGGAACACACCATCCATGGTAATTCACAGGTCCAGGAGCCTTCTCATTGGCGAGGAAATGGAAGCCACTTGGTGGACAGTTCCATAATGAAATAGTTTACATCATCTTCAATCGTAAGTTTTGCCTGACTGACGTCGACGTTGTTCAGAAGTTCTGCACGGGGTCACTGCACGGGGTCAGCGTCTTCCCCGCGCTAGAAACCGCTTTTCAGTGGGTGGAGAGAAAGCTATGAAGTTTAGGAAAAAACCATCTTCAATCGTAAGTTTTGCTTGACTGACGTCGCTGTTGTTAGGAAGTTCTGCACGAGCAGAGATGGCAAAAAAAGCAAAAAGCAAAGCAGAGTCCCAAAGATGGCAAAAAACGCCTTTCTTCGAAAACTCTCGAGCTGGAAATTATGCCAGCGTGGAATCGCACGAGCTGCAGGCAATAACCAGCTAACGTCCAAACTTGCGAAGCTATGCAGAGATGAAATAGAGATCTGAAAAAGAGGAGAGCGACAGCTTCGGCTGAGCCGCAGCCGGGAAGAGTACTTACAAAGTTCGCCGGAGCTTCGTAAGTTGTAGAACCAAGATGTCTTCTTTTCGTGGTCATGACGTAACAGTTACTGGGATCACTCGGAGGCAATGGAGAAGGTCATCTACAACTTCTACTCGGACTTTTCCGATAGCCACGTCTACCTGCCTACCTACCATCTTAGATTGACAGAAAACGACAATTATTGAGTGTTGTGTAACTTCGACGTATGTATTCGAACTCTAAAAGGGTATTATAGGAGGTACTATGACATGTTTGCTATGAGTTTTCGGAATTAATATCGATGAGCATGTACTTCACTGAAAGATATCGGCTATTCATGAAGTGGAAAAAAGGTAATAGCAGTGCATTTGCGATTTAGCACAGAATGGAAAGCTTGGCGTAGCCGAGCGATCCGACTAATATCAGGTTGATATCATATCTCCTTCCCTTGGCTTCTAACCATTTATTCGAAAATTGTTGCTGAATCCCATCTACATAAGACGAAAGGCACGGAATAATGCGAGGAGATTATGGACTTTTCCATTTTATCGGATTAACGTATCGCACCTTTCCGAACCAGTTGGACGCGGAAGTCGCACTTTTTTTGAGGGGCTGACTCAGTGTTGACGTTGTGTTATCAAAGCTAATTCCTTCACCAGTTTGCATATGAAAAAAAAAACGAAAAACAAGAAATAGCGGGTTGATAAGTTCTGCAACTCAGTGGACCATCTAGATCGAAACTATATGAGATACTTTGTTACATTCTATAAACAATCACTAAAAACACCCCATTTTATGGACAATCACTAAAAACACCCTTTTCCAAGAAGAAAAACATCACAGCAGATAAAGAGAAAGTCAGACAGGGGGATTAAACATAAAAAAACATCCCTAGTCAAGCAAAGGAAAGTACAACTGTATAGATATTAGTCGCAATTAAACAGAAGTAAGAGTAAGTACTTTTCAACATACCAACAACAACGAAATTTTTAACTATACCGCAAACAAGCATAAAGAACCTGCTGCTCGAACTTTCGATCAATAATCAGAGAATAATGTTAATGGTAGGTCACACCGTCATGATTATTGCCATGAGAAAAGCTATACGCTGGAGGGTTGCCGTACCCCTGCTGCACGTTTGATGGATTTCCGTAACCTGCTGCTACGTGAGATCCGAGGTACTGCTCCATCTGAGGATTAGGCCGATGTGAAGAGCTGGCATTGTTGTGACTGTCATGGGAATGTCCATGACCTCAAACAGAGCGTTACACAGGAGGGCTTTATTTTGATCATAGCAAAGCACTTTACCAGTGTGATCATGAGAATGGCCGTGACTGCCGTAACTTTGATCGTGTGAATGGCCGTGATGTTCATGTTGTCCATGACCAGTGCCATGAGAATGACCATGACCGTCACCATGAACGTTTACGTTATCATGTGTATGTCCAGAACCCTATGTAATGCAATAAGAGTATCCGAAAGTTCATGGAAATAATATCATGGAAGTAGCGTTCACAGTAATGAGAGCTTAACTCACCGGATTCATTTCCTCAACAGTGTGCCAGGCAGCATCTTTAACAATCTGTAAATGAAAAAAAATCTTAGGAACAAGACTCCTACAATAATAGCTCTGAACAAGGACCTCACCTGAACCGTGAGCATACTAACAACAGATGACATCTTATCAGTGACAAGAGTTAATACGTTCTGTTCATCTGCGTCCCTTCTAACTCGCACATCCACAGTTCCAACCTAGGAGGGGAGTTGATAGAAGGACATTCAATGGCCTACATTGCTAAGAAAAAACCGAAAAGACATCATAAAAGGCCCACCAGCTGCGCAAAGTCTAGTTGCCAGAAGTGACGTGAACGAATTTCCAAAACACCATCAATGGTCGACGCTTCGGAAATACATCTACAAAAATAATAACTGACTGATCGAAAAAAACAGAATCATAACTAAACACGAGGTTAACGGTAAGAAAGGACTACAATCGGCTCGTGCTGTAACGGCATTTAGAAGGCACGATACAATGGGTCTCTAACGCCCTTCATGGACCACCCGCACATTGTCTTGTGATATCGACTGAGATGGAATTGTAGATATTTGGCGACAGAAAATGATTCCGTTGGTAAGGGCTGTTAAGGGTCCTGTCCAGGGCCGTTTATATTCATGGAGATGACTCCCAACAATGGTGTTAAGATCAGTCAACCACACTAATAAGTTCATTCGAGGTTTCAGTTAATTAAGCTGTTCAGTTATTAAAAAATTGATGTGCCGGTGGACCCAATAAGAAAAGGATGAAATTATCAATGGATGGTTATCGCTGAAATTAAGGACGAGGGATTGAGCCTTCGTAAGCGTAGGCATTCCGCGTCGAATTTGTAGTGCCCCGTAACTGGGGCAATCTGATCGGAAGCTTCATGGCCAGAAATAATTGGCCTGTTCCGAGAAAGGACGAAGAGAAAAACGATACATTTAAGCTTTTCAGAAGGACGAATCTAGAGGCCTAGTGGCAAAGCTGTAATGTACTTGCAAACCTTTTGATCGCGGATAACAAAAAAAAAGCGTCAGGATAAAACTCAAACTGAAGTAAGCACTGACAGATTGGCTTCAGGATGGACGACAAGAAGACTGAGTTTTGTAATCTTAAAAAAGAAAACAGCAAATTGGTAAGTGCAGCAGTGAAAGGACGATGCTTAGATGAGTTCATGGTTGAACGCAACTACAGAAGCGCCAGAAATGAGTGTGACAGGATCCTCGAGGCTGCAAAAGCGAAATAATGATGGCACGGATGTAAGCTAAAAGTTCACAAATAACTCGCTATAACAGCTCTGCACTTTGGAAATCAGGGAAGGTGGCCAGTAACTTTTAATAGAGTGGTTCACAGACATGAGGTAGCATATGCACCATTTGAGAGCAGAGAAAAGAGATTGCAATTTCTTTAAGGGACTCAGCATATAACACTAGAGATAGTTGGTGAGCTTCATTAGGGACAAGGAGGTAGGGAAAAACGTGTAGGATCAGTGGCAAACTAGCGTGGTGCCAGACTTGCAGTTTTATAATCAACCAAGCAAATAAAAATATTTGGTGCTGAAGCCCAAATCATAAAGACCATCATTCTATTTATTCGAAGCAATGCCTGGGAGAACTCAAAACATTTCGCAACAACGGATAAAGGGGCAATCATCCTACGCCATAACGTAGAACGGCCAAGGCTTGAAATGAGCGCGCGGTTCGTCGTCGTGCAGGAGAGAAATTGAACAGTGAGATTAGCAGATTGAGCACGGGAAACCAAGTAATCGCTAGCTTCGTATCATTACTACTACGTGAAAATTGAAGGAAGAAAAATTCGAGATTGGAGAAAAAGATTTCAACATATGCAGGTAGTAAAATGATAGTCTACACGTGTCTGTTCAGTCCGATACAAGTGCGGAACAGAAAATCACGCTCGAATAATATTGATCGGAAACAAGAACATGACATTTGAATTTTGCCCGTAATTTTTGTGTCGTTCCATCCACAGGCGAAGCAACTTCATACAGCCTACAGGTGGTCGTTCATCATGAATTTACCATTCATGGTCTGGACGGGAGTTGCCCGAGACAGCAAATGCATGCCATAACACATTTGAGGAGGAGGGGATTGCATCAAGCAATTTTCACTGACTACATGATTGACACTGCACTAGGGGACTTCACCAAGGAGGACCTGTTTTACGTCGAGGTACGACAGATTATGAGTTGAAGAAGGAAAAAGCGGCAGCTACGAAAACCACCGGGGTATACGAAAAAAGAAAAGAAAGTAAATTAAGAAAGTGACATTTATCAGAGTTAAGCGCATGACAAAGGATCCTCCATGTTTGTCACAATTTTACTCCCTTTCTCTCCTAATCATTGCAAGTCATTGCAAAAAACGAAGAAAGTAAAGCGTACAGTGGAAGATAGTCATATTGAGACCCGCTTTCAAGGAGTAGGACCATACTGAAACCTGGATTTGGAGTGAACAACTCTTTGATGAATGATTTCATTCGGCGCCATACTTGGCTCTGAATGCCGTGGGGATTAGAAATGAAATAAGTAGGAGAGATTTTTAAGGATTGAAAATTGCACGACAGCAAGGCATAAGAGAGATTGTTGAAGTTTTTCGGAAACACACCTATCAATTTGGTTAAGAAGATGAGGCGGAGCAGTTTGCAGTAAAATCATGCCCGTATATGTGGATAAGGGCCACATCGTTGAAAATACTGCTACTGACAATAAAAGACAACAGACCGGATCTGCCCAAGCAAAATCATGCCTGGAAAATACTTGTAGTAATTTCATGTGTTATTTGGACAGAAATGCCCATACCTGAAATGTTCACAGAGTACTAGCATTGTGGTTGTAACTGCAGCTAGCAGTACCATTGAGTTAATTCGCGGCAATAGGAGACGTGAGAGGCCGGGGATAACGCGACAAACAGCGTGACATATATCCGCGGCGTGCTCCTGAAAACTTGGAATGGGGAAGAGGCTGGGATTTTTGAACACGTTCGCATTTAGGTACACTATATCAACGTTTTTTCTGATCGACATAATTGAATCTGCACTTGAAAATATAAGAATCATTGCAAGAAAAATAGAGAATACTCGCGAAACGAATGATTCGCATTACCTGTAAGCTGGAGCTACTCGATGCTGTTAAAACGTGCTGAAATGGTTGGTTCTTCAAAGCATAAGCAGAAAGCACCAGAGCTATTGATGTTGCAATAGCTCCAACAAAATAAGGCCAACTGCCTAAAAAATGTAATCAAATCGCCCTTGAACTCCAGTATCCACTTTGAGGAAAATTCAAGAATAAAGCTAATTTGAAATGTCTAGCAAACATTACAAGGGAATCGAAAATCAAGTCAAGCATAAGCATCAAAATGAGTCTTATCTGAAGACTAAGAACTGCAAGCACTTCAACATCTATCGTCTTCATATCACAATGACCTGTAGCCAGGTACAGGTCAAGGTAATGTTCTATCATACATGGTGCCACCCTTCGACCTCTACAACAACTGTTTTCAATGTCCTTATAATCGACGGGTCAGCTCTCTCTGTGATGGTCAGCTTTAGCCGCATATTGCTCGGCTGCCTTTATATTCAGACATCTACATAACTAGCGAAAAATGCAACATGATAGCTGTCAAAAGTGAATCAGTTCAAATACACAACCATTTTGTCGTTCGCATGATCCACTCACCGACAACTTCTAGCTCATGTTCATGTGCAGCCGACGCGTCGTGTGTCCCTTGGTGCTCAGGAGACAGTAGATGTTCGAAAGATTCCTTCGATAGGAATATAGAGAACAACTGGGCAAGCACCTCAAAGAATCACAAATCATTTTAGCCCACTGTATACATAATTGAACAACTAACTTACAGTGGTGCTGAATACTGCCAAAACAGGTACTCTCGCTAGACCGTAACTAAACTTGTCCATAGGCTTATGTGTGATTGTCATTGAATACAGCGCAGAAAGTAATGAGCAGAGGGCAAATATTGAAATCCACATAGCGGACATTAAAACTAAACAGAAAATGCTTCAAGGTTTCTAAGTATTAAACCTTCTCCATAACACATAATGGCTGTAGCTTATTCCAAATTCACTACTTCGGTAATGGTGTAATGGTAGAGAAAGTAATGTCTGTCTATTAGAACTTATTGGGCATGCAACAAAACTAGCAATGATAATAAAGAAATCAAAAAAGGACCTATCGAATGGCTAGCTGACACGCAGTATGCTAGAACAGCAACACAGCATAGACAGGCTCCAGCAGCAGCAAGGCCCCTTTCGCCCTTTAAATACGCGAAGTTTGATAAGCTATAACTTTATGTGAAACAACCCAAACCACAAAGTACTGAATAGCTACGGTTACCTGCTTGTGGCGAGCTGATTCCCATAACCAGGCTATACCCATCTGTAAAAGATTTGTTCGCAATGATTACTACCACGTCAGAGTAGCAGATATGAGTAGTAAATTTACCGTTCCAAGATTAATAACTATGAACAACCACCACGATTTATTGTAGATTTACAGTTGTAGAAAGCGTGATTGAAAGAGAGTGCAGCTCACCAAGAGATCGGAGTAAAAATATGTACACTCGTTGCATGCAAAGGACTTTGTCCAAAATCACAGCATAAATTAAATCGTGAAATATACTGCAGTAAAAGTGCTAGGCAACAAGAAGATAGTTTGAACAGAGGGCTGAAAGTTGAAAAGAGATCTATCACATCACCATAACGACACTACAACGAGCATGGCTCTATTTGAGAGATAACACTGTAAGGGCTAATAAAGCGGTTCATCATTGGACAGATCAAAACCATCATCGAACTGATCTTCGAACAACATGCCCGGCACATAGTCATCGTCCATGACAGCACCTTCGTCACCGACCACACCACCTTCGACAGTATCAAGCCACTGAGCGTTATGCCAACGAAATCGCTCTCCAGCAATTCGGCGAGCCCACTCTTGAGAGTGCTCCTGAAATACAGCGACAGACACTGCAAAACTACAGAACAAAAGATGGAAAAAGGCGAGAAAAAAGAAACCGACTGACTCCTATTATCACCAGAGCATTGTCACACATTTCACGAATGGCAGGATTTTTGTCGTGCATAAGATCTATAACATAGGCACCAAGAGCGGAATCTGGACCCATAAGACGGTTGGCCAGCTCGCGATGGCGAAGCAGTTGCAGGAAAAGATAAAGAAGTTGGACAACAAATTCGTCATCTTCTTGCATTGCTTAAAAATCGGTTACTAACAATAGAAATACTGAAGAAATCTCTCTCGAAAAAAGGGAAATGAATAGAGAAAAACTCACTGTGGAGCAGCTGAAGAAAAACTTCGAGAAGTGGCACTAATGTTCGTGCTGCGTCGACTTGCCGAGCCATCGTACCACACATTACAACTAACTGTAATTTGGTAGCAGATCATTTCGTAACTCATGAGTGTGCACATAGAAAATACCTGCAGCTGTAGAGGCTCACTCTCACCAGCAGAAGCTTTCAGCCGTTCACCTATCCAGTTCACGAGATCATAGGAGGTGCTTAGGCTAAAAGACGTCAGTACATTGTCAGGCTTTGAACTTATGATGAACCGTTATGAACCTGCTCCAATCTGCCACTTTTATCAGAGCGGCAGTTCCTATAAATTCCAGACCCAAAGCTACGTTCTCATCTTCTTGCAAGAGAGCATTCTTCATTCCTGCTTCCAACAGTCTTGGCATTGAGCTCTAAACATATCAAAGAAATAACAAGAGAGAAAATCCAACCCGTACCACCACGAACATTTATCGTTTATTCTAGAACGCACTACAAACATATCCTGCGTTGGCCCCTCATGACCAGCGATGCTTCGAACGATTTTTGCTACCATCAAATCCCGTCCATCAATTGCAGCATCCAACAAAAGAGACAGTCTTAAACATTAGGAAGGAAAATTAAAATCAGTAGACTTTGAGCAACATAGAAAGATTAAGAAACAGTATATACCCCTGCCCGTTGTGGCCACATACAAGTTGGGCGTTCCTTTTCTCTGCGCAGGCGTTTAGCAGAACGGCTTTCGTTGCTTCACTGCCATTTCCCGTCAGCAAATCGCGCATGAGCTATAACGATCAAAAAAATAGCAATGAGACAATGCCACGCCTCAACGAATGAAAGTGAAAAGATGAAACCTCACTAGCTGCATGGCATCCGTAAATGTTAACATAGCCTTAGCATCATCATTTACACTTAACTGATATAAAAGATTCAAAGCTTTTGCATCGCCTGAAAAAGTTCAGCTATAAAATAAAACATGCAACAAAAAGAAAATAAAAAGGGAGAATTCTGTGAAAGGAATGTTACTTTCGATGAGAGGAGCGACATGCGCGAGTAAACCTTCAGAAACCATTCTTCGACGAGATTTCGCATCAAATGACAGGTTGAAGAGTAGCCGAATGACGGCCTTGCGTAATTCGATGTCATCTATTGGAAATAGTTGTAAAAGCTTTCCAATAATATTTCCTTGCTCCTGGAATTACCCCATAGAAACAAAAGCTGAATAAACATCCACAGTCAAAAAAGGAACAGCAAAAAGCATTCTTTCTTGAGCATAGTTAGATCGAACCAACGGACCATGGTTGTCTTATTCTCTTCAAAAATACTCAGTTTCAGCAGAAACTGAACTGTAGCCAACGTGAGTTCAGCTGAATCTCGCATGCTCAAACAACGTAGCAGCATTGGCACAATATCTCGACGGACCATCTTGAGCTCGACATTGATGTCATGAGCAAGATTTGTCAGCAAGGTGATGCAGGCTGGAATACAAGACGTAAATGTTTTTCAAGAAGAATACTGATTCCTTGCCGCAAATTCCTTATAAAACACAAAAAGTCAGTGTTTCCAGTTTTAGAGAGGAAGATTCAAGATGGATTTTGGTAACGAAAGTACTACATATAATAAATTGGTTCCTACAATGGAAGATAGCCCGGATTTTATTATGAAATTTGCGATCCACACTTTTCTCGAAAGCCCTACCAGCCAAGAGCGCTTGTTGTTTACGTATGGCAAGACGGCACTTTCGAGCAGTTTTCTCATCTTCATTTTTCGCTTCAGCAGCCCATAGTTCGCCCCGTTTTATTTCGTATTCCATAGCATTCATGCACAGTGCTCCAATCTACAAAAGAAAGAAGATTAGATTAATTTTAATCAGGTAACGTCAGGGATTTATGATGTGAAACAGGGCCATTTGATATGATTTTGAACAGTTCTTGATAAAACATGTACCGAAGCACACTCAGCAAACGTACCTTGTGATGAGACAAAGTTGCTTGGAATTGGTTGTAGTAGGAGAACTGTACAAATATGCGTATTATCGTAGTCGCTAATTCGAAATTCTTCTTCCAATCCTCGCGAAACACACGTGCCAAAGCTCCAATTAGTGTTTCTAAAGTAAGTTTCTAACAACATGTGAAAACATAGTTCTGCTTGCTAAGCAGGCAGGGTGAGGAAAATATAACGGGTCATTCCCATGGATTTACCATTCTCAATGAGCACTTCCAAGTTTGCAGTAGTTTTAGTGAGTTCTAAAATATTTAGAGCACCACGATTCTTTTCCGCAGTATCTTCATAGAACAGCTCGATATAACTCTGGAAACAACCAGTTATGAGAGCTAAACCAAGGTTAGCAAAGTGGAAGCCAAAATCTCTAGAAGAAACAAAAAAGATGTAATAAACCATAACAGAACCACTCCTCACAAAATTTTGAGAAGAGGTCAAAATAGGATGAAAACCAAAGTAAAATCGTACTAAGAAATGCATACATCTATTTCACTCATGTCTGCTCTTACAGGGAAGGCGGAAAAAGGTGTGGTACCACTGCCGTACTCAGCCGATGAAATAGATGATGCGCTTCCTGAAGTCATCAACGCATTTACTGAATTCTTTTTGACATCAGAAACACTGAGAAGCTTGTTTCGTGTATTTTGTCACAACATCATGAACTTACTTGCACGTTTGTTTCTATTCTGCAGGTAAAACAAAATTTGTTCAAGTTCTTGGCGCATTCCTTCCGGTATAAGAGCGCATTTCTCCATAACGACATCAGCCAGCAAATGTATGTCAACATCTTCATTGAGATCCCTGAGGTTGATCCTTAACGAAGATTAATTGCTTGCTCAATACTGCGGGCGTGAATTACATGGCAAATGCCGTTCCACGAAGTAAAAAAGGAACTGAAGACATACAATTTTTGACAGGCTGTAGCATGACGGGTTCTTCTGTTTTCCACTTGATATTTGATGACGATGGATTGTTCAATAGGGTGCGCATCGATTGTTACCTTATCGATGGCTCTGAAAACATCGCTGGCATATGAAATGCAATTTCTGGCAAAGCGACGTTCCCTTTGTTGATCCTAACTACCGCAACCCATGAAATATACGTAAGGGGATGCCCAACACTTAATCGCATCTCAGGCAAGCTTACTAGACGTTCAACAATCGATTGCGCTCTGAACCCAGTCAAACTGATCACAATTAGTGAGATGGTGACCAAAGAAGCGAAGCTCAACAATCAAAATGAAATGCCTGGCGCAGCGAACGCATGTAAGAATCATAGCACGCGTGATTTATGTATTGGGAGAAGGGTTAGAGCATAAAATTGTCGTTGAAACCACTACTCTCGGAAACACCACTAACCGCATAACTCCCACTTCGAGCAGCGAGAGTTAGCCTAGGTAATCAAAAGCACTATTAGGCTGAATCCAAGAGGCGAAAGAGGTCACTAGGTCGTTGTTAGGGCAGTGGTCATCATTGGCCGCCATTGTTTCGTTGGGAATCTTGAGACGGTGAGAAAAAAGAGAGGTTTGCTGCCACCATCCAATATGTAAGACTGCTCAGTATCCAACCTTGACTGTGTGAGTACCCCCATCGATACGCGTTCAATGTAGGAAATTTTGCGATAGATGAGTACGAAGTAAGCTTTCTAATAAAATGCGAAAAACTTGTAAAAACATACTCTCCATTCATTTGATAGCTCATACCATCAGGGAGCCGTACAAGTACAAACCAAAAGTTTCATGGAAGTATTCTCAGCATTGCCGTTGATAACACCACCTAAAAAAGAGAAAGTGAGGCAGAAACAAAATGATGCTTACTTGGCGGAAGCTGAATTCCCGAGTGGTTGCGCACTGAACTCAACATCAAATTCGGAAGCAAATCAATAAATAATACGGCCGCCGTCACTCCTTTATGCATAGCAACGCGTTCAACACGGATTTTCAGCGACCTGAAGACTTGGGCGGGCGGAACTTTAGCTCGTCTACATAACGCCCAGGGTAGGAAAGGGCAAGGAAGAGTTAGTTTTCGCCGTGGGTCAGATGAGTGACGCTGGAGCGCAGTATTTCGCACCTCCACTACCGTTTGGCCAGTGTTAGAATGGTATCCGAAGTTCGTGTTTTTCGATTGATTGGACCGGAATTTGGGAGAAGTGTGGATTTTTGCCCCAGAAAAGCTTTTTAACAAAGTGGGGCATCTACATCCTACGAAGGCTGACGGAAGTAGCAGATGTTACGATGTTCCACTAAATGCACTTGGAGGGTTGTGAGACTTTTAAGCGAGCATCCAGTTATCGCGCACCCAAGTACAAAGTGACCTTAGTTAGATGCGCAAATTAAATATCACCACGCTGCTCTCAGGTCGTAATTAAGTGTGTGAAAAAACAAATGAAGGGGACAAAAAGACAGTGAAGCGCCTAGAAAAAAGCTTCGAATGAATAAAATTTGCACACCAGATAAACAATTGATATTGTGCTTTCTAGATGTTAGTCATGAAATAACACTCGGCTTGGAGTTGGGCTATTTCTCATTTTTTACAGGGTTTTCAGATATTTGGGGCTGAAAGCAGCGTCATCAAAGAGGCCGCAAGAACCATATCACCACCAGTCCATTCAGGATTACTTATTCGATACGTGCCACATCTTCCACTCTTTAATCTTTACATTTCTGCGCCATCCTAGGCTCGGAATGCTCATACCTCGAGAATCCTGCAAATACGCAACCTTCCTTTATGCACCGCTCCCAGCACCGCAAACCTCGGCTTAATCCTCCTAAAGTTTATTCCTCGTCACTAGCACTGATGTACATTTGGTAGATAAACTTTTCAACTAGCCGCCGCATCGAAGCATTTCAGTCCGTTGCAGCGTCAATTTCAACCTTTACACGTGGTATACACATGATTCTTGTTCGAAAACTTTTTTGCTCTAAGCGCCGGGCTTTCTTACTATTGCTATCATATT